AAAGTCCCAAGGCAGGAACGAGCTTAGCCTGTTTAAAGGGAAAGGGGAAAAAAAGCCAGTCTGGCTGAAGCATAGTAAACAAAAGACAGACTGGAGGGAGATGAGGTCAAACAGAAAGGCAGGAATGAGATCACCTAGACCAGCGGTCCCCAGCTTTTTTGGCATGAGGGACCGGTTGCTCCTATGAGAATCTAAGGCCTAAGGATCTGAGCTGCAGTAGAGAGGGGTGATGCTAGCACTAGGTAGTGGCTGCAAATACAGATGAAGCTTCGCTCACTTGCCCACTGCTCACCTCTCGCTGTGTGTCCTGGTTCCTAACAGACCACGGACCAGTACCAGTCCACGGCTTGGGGTTTGGGGACCCCTGACCTAGACTATCTGTTCTTCATAATTCAAATTAGGGGCTAGCAAACTTTTCCTGTAAAGGACCAGATAGAAAATATTTTTGGCTTTGTGAACCACAGTCTCTGTTGCAACTATCCAAATCTGCCTTTATAGTACACAAACAACCATTAAGAAAATAAAAGAATGAACATAGCTATGTCTGAACAAAAATTTTTTATGGACAATGAAATCTGAATTTCACATAACGTTCACATGTCATGAAATACTGGGTTTTTTTACTTATTTTTAACCATTTGAAAATGTAAAAAGCATTCCTGGCTCACAGGCCATACAAAAACAGCAAGTAGGCTGGATCTGCCTGTTCAGATTATAAAACTCTGTAGTATTTAACAGCACTAAATAAATTCAGCACATAAGAAATGCTCTCAATGAAATTTTCAACTTCACTTTTCAGACCTTGTCATTTTATTTTCAGAAAAGGCAGACACAAGAATATGTCTAGAACAAGAGAACAGCAGGAACCTGACCGCATTTACCCTAACTCTAAAGTTAACCTAGAGGAGTTTTTCATCTCTCTGTTAGTTAGGGACCACAAAGCCCAGCACAGTTCCTGAGTTACAGTAGGCCCTCAAGTAATGTTTGCTGAACAAATGAATGAATAGATGTCAGCCAATCTCAACAGTTCTCTACAAACTTTTTGTTATGAAAATCTAAGAGTAAAAGCTGTGTGTAGATCATCCACTAGTCTATAAGTTGCCTTTGTGTGAACCACAAAAAAAGCACCTGCTGGGAGTGCACACAGCTTTAGACAATGCTACTTTATGCACTACCTCTGAGGAGATGAAGATTTTTTTTAAAAACCCCTCAATCACCCCAGGCAGATGCAACACTGTGTGAGTATAAGTGAATATCACCTTTGTGCAAAGAAGATGCCCCATCCTCTGTAAGGACTCAGACCGTACACTAACTAGAGCCAAAACTTGGCTAGCTGAGTGTGGACTAGATTCCAGACCCAATGGTCAGAGACCCACAATCACAAGCAGTGGTCCCTAAGTATTTTTAAAAAGGAGCTTTAAATACAAGTTAATGACAGTCTCCAAAATTTTTCAGAGTATCTTAATATCTAAAACCAGATGCCTAAATACACAAAGAGGAATGACTAGAAAGTAGGCCTCTTCATAATGAAAGAAAAACAGCCATACCATTAAGCTAACCTCTTAATAAAACATACACTTTGTATTACTTTTATAATCAGCAATTCAAATGACTGAGTTTTTATCATTAAAACTATGGCTCAATTGTGTCATCAACTACTATGACAACTATCTGAAATAGCTCCTATAAACATGTTTGCCTTTTTTGATAAATGTACATAATGAGTGACTATATAGGGCACTGAAAAATTTTTGGTCACCTCTATCTAGAAAATCCAGCTTCAGTAAAATAACTTCATATTGACTATAGAAGTGTCCTTCCCCTATGTAATACCACTATAGATTTTTTAAAAGCAGCTATTACTACAAGTGAATAATAAATAACTACATACTAATTCTGATTTTTCTCAGCACAAACTGTTTTTGCTTTTCTATTGAAAGCAGGCGCATCAAAGGACAAAAGCCATATAATTTGAGTCATATACATGACATCAAAAAGAAAATGGGGGAAGATACTAAACAGACTTTTTTCTAAAATAAAAAAGGGCCATTTGTTGCTGTTCTGTGGTCTGTAATTTCTGTTCTTCACAAATTAATCTCCTAAGTACTTCCCTTTTCTCCATTTCTTCAAAGCAGCTATAGCAGTCCTCACTTATCCGTGTTTTCACTTTCTGCAATTTGTTATCCACAGTCAATTGCAGACCAAAATATTAAATGAAAAATTCCAGAAATATACAACTCACATTGTAAATTGTATACTGTTCTGAGTGGCGTACTGAACTCTCTCACTGCCCACTCTATCCTGCCCAAACGTGAATCATCCCTTTGTCCGGTCTCCAAGCTGTACATGTTACCTACCTTTTAGTCACTTAGTAGCCAGCCATCAGTTGCAGTATTGTAGTGCTTTTGTTCTAGTAACCTTTATTTTACTTAATAATGGCCCCAAAGCCAAGAGTAATAATGCTGACAATTTGGATATGCCAAAGAGAAACCATAAAGTGCTCCCTTTAAGGTGAGTACAGTACAATCAGGTATTTTCAGAGGGACCACATTCATAACTTTTATTACAGTATATTATAATTGTTCTTTCATTACTAGTTATTGTTGTTAGTATATTACTGTGCCTAATTTATAAATTAAACTATCATGGGTATGCATGTATGGGGAAAACACAGTATATAGAGAGTTCAATAATACCAGCTTCAGGCATCAACTGGAGGTCTTAGAACGTATCCCCCTCAGATAAACAGGGACTACTGTAATCAATATTCTTTGTTCCATCAGGCTCCCCCTCCCTTTAGAGATTCAGGTTCTGCACACATTCAACCACGCAGTCTTCTCTTCACTTTGGGGGCTGGTTACCACTGAAGCTCTAGCAGCTTCTCTGGACACACCTACTCACTCAGGCCTTCCTGGATGCTATATGTGTTCACTTTTTCTGCCTGCCTACTCTGGTCTCATAATGTGCTAACTTCTTAAGAAGCCTCTTAAGAAAGGAGCTCCAAAATGCTGGAATTTAAGTACTTTGACATCTAAATCCTCACAGCATACTTTACTTGGTTATGACACTTTTAAATTTCTACACCGTATTAGAGTTATCCTTATATATATAATCTTCCACACCAGACAGTAAATTGAGGGTAAAGGCTGTATATGGCTCATTTGTCAATTTTTCAAGTACCTAGCACAATATCTTATACAGAGTAGATACCTAATAAGTCTTTGTTGCATACATACATACATACATACATACATACATAAATGCTCCTGTGGAAAGAGAAATAAGGAAATCTACTATCCCAGGAAACTACTCTTTTTTAAGAAGTTTTCAGCAGTATTTCTTGCCCTTTGGTTTATTTTCCTATGCACTTCAGGGCCTCTATTCTACCATATTACCTTCATGGTGATTAAATCATACTTGGACTTCCTCCTCTTTTAGGACTCTCCAAATCAGATGTCTCACTACTGATTTTCTCCTTCTTATCACTAGTAGAAATGCCATGATGTTATCCATTTATTAACAGGCCTATCTTGTCAACTTTCCTTTCAGAGGTAATCCCAATGGAAGATGGTGGAAGGCAGTATAGATTAATGTAAGAAACAATGAATTTAGTCAGAAGAGTATCTGGCCAAACCCAGACATTCCACTTCAGGGAATTTTCTCCCTTTTATAAAACCTTAATTAAATACTGTGAACACATGAAGTATGTTGAATATAGAACCCAGTTCATAGGAGGCATTCAATAAATGAAAATTATTAATATAAGACAGTAATAGTATTAGTATAATTACCTATTATTCGGTATAGATATCATGCTACTTTAAATATAACCTCAATGTACATTTGCATTTTTAAAAAGATGCTAGTAAGAAAGAAATCAGCAATTCATTGTACATAATGGCATGAACATAGTCTTCATAAACAGATGACCAGCCACATCAAAATGCATCTTCTCACCTCACTGCCCTGCAAAGTCTTTGCTGGGTTAGCAGAAGGGATGGCAGCATTCAGCTCAAGTTCTGGCTTACACAGAAGTGCAATGGTGTCACGGTGAGACTGATAACGTTCTTTCACTTGTCCATCTGCTTGCACAGCTTTATCCAAAACTGCTCTGAAGTTAGCTCCCTCTGTGGGGAAAAAAGAATGTTAGCAGAGTACAGCATTGATGTTAACAGTTATGTTTACGGGCTAGTGTACTTTTAGTTCTGTTCTCCTCCTACATGCTCCAATTTTTCATACTTAAATTTCAGCATTTTGGAGCTCGTCTCTTAGGAGGATTCCTACCTTATTCCCTTTCTACAGGCCCCAATTCACTAGGTAACAGAAACTCAGCTCCTGTCAGTCTTTGCATTTTTGTTTTTGAAAAACCAATTATAAAGCAAAAGCACAGTTATACTTTAAATTACATTTGTGGTGACTGACCACCAAATAAAAGCTAATTGCCATTCATCTCATCTTTTCCAACAACTCATGAATATAGAAAATCATTCCCCCCAAAACTGTTACAACTTATTTAAAAAGTATTCCTCTCTCAAAGGATTATTGTTTCAGCTAGACTTAACAGCAGATACATTTTTAGAAAAATCTCAATAGTATTAATGCTCTTCACAGAGATAAATAAAACGAGCTACCATGAAGACATAAATTATCTTAACAAGCACAAAATCTTAACCAAAGTTTAAAAAATAATATTTTGGCTTCAAGTTAACTGTTAAAACTCATCTTTTACCACTAAAGATTTACTATTAAGTGAAATGAAATTATAAAACCATACATATAATATGATCTCATTTATGTTTTTAAAATATGCACAGGGCTTGGAACAGAAAAAGAGAGTTATAGAATCATTTTAATTTTCACTTTATACCCTTCTTAAGAAGCTGAACTTCTTATAAGGAACACGGATTACCTTTTTGTTATTTAACTTACACTGAACTGAGGAAAAACACCTAGATTTTTCTAATAGCACACAACTGCAGCAAAAATAGGTTTATTATTGTGCCTAATTTAATCAAGCAAAAAATTATGGATCCAAATTGAGACTTTATTCCATGTGAAAGTCATTTATGCACATTTTTACCTGCTCTTAAAGGCTTATAAAGTTCATTAGATGGTGTCCTTTGCCAGCGTTCCTTGAATTTTGCTCTTAACTCATTGTCAGTTGCTTCTTCTTCATCCAACAACCTTAGAGACTTTTAAAAAAGGAAGCAAAGAAACAATGAAATATCGTTTCTGGTGCAAAAATTTTAAACATTTTTTTAAGTGCTCATACTCAAAATAGATGAGAATTAGTGAAGTGGGAATTCTGTTACTGGTTAGAATATAAATTGGCATAATTTTTGTTGCAGAAATCTATGTTATAATGTATATAAACAAAAAGTCATTTAAAATTTAAGGCTAGGTTAACCATTACCTTATTCAGTGAAATTAAATAGAATAATTAAGAGATTATGTACATCCATATACAAGACTATTTTAAACAAAGATTTTTTTTAAGATAAAAATAAATACAGAGCCTTTGGAGTATATAAGCCATAAATAAAGCGAAGAGAAAACCGAATAATTTAACTACATGAAAATAAAAGAATTGGACTTCTATCCCAATATATCAAACTGAAAATTAGCATATAAAAATGCCTTTTTAATGCTTAGCTGAGAAAATAGGATAGTAGGGGCCAGAAACAGAAGTAAGTACTAATCTACAGGTACAAACAAGTGCTAAAGCCAATGGTAGCTGCTAATCCAATAGTCTAGAGCAGAGTTCTGCAAACTTTTCTGTAAAACAATAGGGTAAATATTTTAGGCTTTGTGGGCCACAGTCTCTGTCATTGTTCTTCTTTTTCTTTTTTTACAACCCTCTAAAAATGATCAAAATCATCCTTTACTAGTGAACCATACAAAAATAGGCTACAAGCCAGAACTAGCCCACCGTCAGTTCACCAACTACGTAATTCACTAATGGCTTAGAGTATGAATTTATCAGAACATGAGTAAGAGACAAGAAACACAGGTGGGACTAAGGAGAGTAGATGAGCTCAAAGGCACTATCCTTCCTCACAACAGGATACTTACGAATGGGTGACACTAAGGAGATGACTTTTTAAAAGAAAAACTGCCTAACAGAAGGAAACTTAATCTGTTTGAACCTTGGCTGTAAATAGAAAAGTATCACTTAAGATGTCTAATCTAAAGCCTGAACTTAGGACTGGAAATCATACTATCTGTGAGATACAAAGTCCTAAGATGAAATGACTAAAAGACTAACCATAAAAACAAACAAAAAAAACATAAGTTTATAGAGGTGTCAAGTACATAACGTCTTTTCATAGCAAAAACAAAGAAAAACCCTCTCTAAAAGAATTCACTTTAAACCCAGACCTCAAAGATTTCCCACAAATAAAGTTCCAGGAAATGTGAATTCAAAATTTAAAAATCACTGAACATTAAATGCATTAAATGTACTCTGGACTGGATCTTGAAACAGAAGAAGGCCATTAATAGAATAACTGATAAAATCTGAGTAAAGTATTATACAAATGTTTACTTCTTTGTTTAAATAAATATACCATGACTACACAAGGTTTTAATTTTGGGAGAAGCTGAGTGAAGAAACTCTCTGCACTAAATTTACAACTTTCTGTAAACCTAAAATTATTCCAAATTTAAGGTTTCCTAGAAAGGAAGGAGTAAAACTATCTTTACTTGAAGATAACATGACTTTATATATAGAAAATCCTGAGGAATCTACAAATTAACTGATAAAAGTCAATAAATTCAGTAAAGTTGCAGAATACGAAATCAACATACAAAATCAGCTGTATTTCTATACTCTAGCAATGAACAATACAAAAAGAAAATTAACAATTCTATTTATAATTGCATCAAAAAGAATAAAATGCTTATTTGGTTAAATTAAAAGGATTCTTTTAATTTAACCACATAAATTCTTTTAATTTAACCACATAAATTTAAGCAAAGACTAGTACACTGAAAACTACAAAACACTGTTGAAAGAAATTAAAGCAGATTTAACTAAATGGAATGCCCATATTCATGGATTGGAAGATGTAAGATATTGTTAAGAGCAGCAATATTCCCCATACTGATCTAAATATTTAATGCAATCCCTATCAAACTTCTAACTGTAGAATTTTCTATATATAAGGTCAAATCAAAACCAATGAGATATCACTTCATATGCATATGAATGGCTGTGGCAAAAAAAAAATTATAAGAGTTGGCAAGGATGCAGAGAAACTGGAATCTTCATATATTGATGGTTAGAATTAAAACGTTGCAGTTGCTTTGGAAAAGTTTGGCTGTTCCTCGAAAAGTTAAACAAAGAATTACTGTATGACCCAGCAACTCTACTCCTATGTATATATACTCAACAGTAGACAAATAGCAGTATTATTCAGAAAAATCATAAAGTGAAAACATCCCAAATATCTATCATTCATGGATAAACAAAATGTGGTAGATCCAAATAATGGAATATTATTTAACCATAAAAGAAAATGAAGTATAGATACATGCTACAACATGGATAAACCTTGAAAACATTATGCTAACTGAAAAAAGGCACACTCAAAAGGCCACTTACTGTTTATGAATCAATTTATACAAAATGTCCAGAATAAGCAAATCCATAGAAAGAGAAATCAGATTAGTGATTGCCAGAGTGATTGCCATTAGTGGAGTGACTGCTAATGGTACAAGGTTCTTTTGGGAGTGACAAAAATGTTCTGAAATTAGAAGAGTGTTGATGCTCATACAACATTGTGAATGTACAAATGCCACTGAATTTGGACTCTTTAAAGAGGTTAAAATGGTTAATTTTATGTTTTGTGAATTTTACCTCCAAAAAAGAACACACATGTAGTTTAGTTATAAGATACACATAGGTGACTTTTTAAAGAAGCAGTTAGACATCTGGGAAATAAAAAATATTTTTAAAAAAATTTTTTAATGTAATTGAATGGCTGAAGAACACAAAAGGCAGATAAATAGCCAATTAATGAGGCAGATGGCTAGCCTGAGAGTCTCCCAGAAGAATAAGAGGACAAAAAAGAAAAAGAAATGTTGAGATATGAAGAACTCTTCCAGAAGCACCATCACCAATCTAACAGAAATTCATTAAGACACAATGGAAAGAAAAGAAAAAAGAGGAATAACTGAAGAAATAGAATCCATGGAGAGGGATCTAAGATTGAAAGGGCCCAACAGATCCAAAACAGGATGGATTTATTATTTTAAAAATAAATTAGTTTGATACTTCAAAACTTTTGAAAATCAAAATATTCTAAATTACAGAATCTAAATTTCCAAAAGCTACCAAAGAGACACTCAAAGAGTACCAGCTGCACAATCTACTTATTTCATAACTTACAACTTACTTAAAATGAGACTCTCCAAGTGCAACTGACAGAGTAATAGTGACTCTAACTTACAGGCTGTTACAGAAATATCAAATGAGATAAATAAAAGTACCTTATATTAAGATAGGCAGACAACAAACATAAACACTGCCAGTTTTTCCTAATTATTAGATAGATGAGTTTTTTCACATTGTGATTTCTAATGAAGATGCTCTTCACAACTGATATTTCATTAGGCAATTTTTTCCATAAAACTTGTTTCAAATCAAATATGCATCTTCTAATCACACTTTAAAACCAAGGAAATACAGTAATAATTAATATTTAACAACTAACAGGCACATGTATGATCCCATGTCACAGCTACCTTATATGCTAAGTACTATTAGCCCCATTTTTTAGATGCATGAACTGAGACATGAAGATGTTAAGTGATCCACCCAGGGTCACAGGAGTAAGAACTGGGACTGAAGTCCAAATATAACTCCATGTTCTGAGACCTTAACGACTGAATTATGTTTAAACAATAAAATATTAAATAATGATTTATTATTATAATCTCTACTTACTAAATGCTCCAGACCACTTTCCATTTGACTTGCTATGCCTGCATTTTCCAGTGTCTGTCTTCTTCCCCAGTATTAATTACTTCCTGCTGCTTTCACTTAGATACAATCTTGAACAGCTCTCTCTACTTTTTTCTCTCTATGTCTATCTACTATTCCAATGTCCTTTCAATTGCAACACCAGACAACAAGCTTGTTTGACCCACAAACCAACAAATTGTGAAGGACTATATGACATCCTCATGAATGAAATCTACGACCTTAAGAGCAGTATCTGTCAAATTTTAGCATGCACACAAATCACCCTGGGATCTTGTAAAATGCAGATCCTGATTCAGTAAGTCTGGGTGGAGTCTGAGATTCTGCTTTTGAAGGCTTTGGTACTGAACAATGTAATACCAATTCTGTTTGCTTTACTTTTTCTAATTACTGATTACATCCTACATAGGTAAGACTGGTAATGTTGACTGTATAATTAATGTAGAATCCCTCATAAATCAGATTTTCCAGGCCAATAATGCAGTAAGTTTCCATTTAAGTTTCTTAACCTTTTCCAATAGCGAAATGCATTGAAAGGTGAATAATGAACACCACCATCATATCAGTTATAATAATTGCAATATTATCGCCATAGTAATATAACAGTAGTAATAGCTGTAACTTATTAAGCACATACTGTATATCCCATAGGCTAGGCATTTCACTGGTGCAGTTTAGTTCATTCTTTAAATAAACCTGGGAGGTAAATATTATCATCCCCAAGGTTCATACCATCGTAAGTACTTAAGTACTCTGCCTCACCCCAAAGTACTTAGAAATGATGTAAATACAATATCTTCTGAAAGTTAACTGAAAAATCAAAACATTAAGGATGAAAGCGCTGATAACAAAAATCACCTGAGAGATATTGACTCCTAAACTGGCAAAAGCCAGTATATCCAGCTTGAACATATTTACAGCTAAAGAAAGAAATGTTATCGACTAGGTGAAAGAGTTGAAAACAAAGTAAAAAGAGAATAACACTAGCAAACAGTTGGCTTTAGCCAAAAAACTTTTAGTGTTCCATTCCTATTGATAAAATGTCCTCTCTACTGGAAGATGGATGAGGTGGGCTTATAAACCATTTGATGGCCCAACTTCCTTTGTCTGATTTCATGTTCACCAAGAAACCCAATCTGTAATATAAAAACTATCACTAATTATTAAGACTTTTGTGTGATGGTATTTTCTCAAGTATACTAGTATTACACAGTGGTCATATGAGTTTCATTAATGTGCATTTATTACCCTTATAGACATGTATGAAGCCATTCTCAGACAATAAAACGTCTTCATGAGGCTGAAGGTCAGGCTCTGGGTCACCAAGATGATGAGTACTACCCTATAAAACCCAACTGGAGAAAGCTTCCAGTCCTAATCCCTGATGGACAACAGGCGTCCAAATGCTTTTATCTGAAAAGCAAATCTCTTAAAACATACCTCATCTAGGATTTCTCTATTCCTTTGTAGCAGTTCAGGTAGCTCTTTGATCAACTGATCAACAGTCTGGATGCCTCCCTGTTCAATCACAGATGTGGATTTAGTCAATATAGACTGAGGTACAGTATCTCCAGATACATCTTCAATTGCTGCTGGAAGATTAAGGGAAGCTAACACCCTGAAAAAATGAAATACTATGTCATCTAGAGGTTTAAACCACCTTTGAAACATTAATCTCCTGTATCCGAATCAACAGCAAAGAAGTTAGCACCCCAAAAGTGTATAAGCCCTAAGAACAGAAAAATAAAGCAAAGAAAAAGGAAAAAACAGAAAGTGAATGATTGATAAAAACAAAACTCTTAAAGAACTAAGTTCACAGTTAAGAATTAAAAGCCAAAAAGCCATAAATATACATTAAAATATAATAAATACCTTTGGCTCACAATTCAAACTTAACTCCTTTCAGTCTAAGTAAATAAAAGTCAAAAAGTCTGCCTTAAAAAATGCAATCTTTTTATTATACTCCTGATTGTTATACTGTCACTGATAAATCAGAAATACATAAAAGTTATAATTTGATACCATCTAGGCAAAACATCAAGAGAACATAGTTGATCTAAGTATTAATTACAGAATCTTCATCTGTTTGTGACACAGTAACAATTATTCTATTATTTCATTTATATAATAAAGGGGATGTTAAACTTATGTTGCTTTCTTGCTAGAAAAAGAAAATGAGGTCAATATCCATGTATTCATCAAAATTAAAAATATGAAAAAGCAAACCAGACCAAGAGAAAATATTCTCAATTACACATATATGGCAAAGGACTTGCCTCTAAAATATGCAAAGAGTTCTTCAAAGATTAAGAAGAAAAATATTCAATTTTTAAAAATGAGCAAGAGATTTCAACAGACACTTTACAAAAGATATATGAATGGCTAATAATAAGCATATGAAGAGTTGCTCAACATTACTGTTAATCTGGGGAATGCAAATTAAACATATACTAACCACATAACTCAGCAATTCTAATCCTAGGTATTTACCCAAGAGAAATAAAACATGTCAACACAAAGATTTGTACATGAATGTTCATAGCAACTGAAATGTCCAACGACAGGTAAAAGAATAAAAAAACTGCTATTTGACCATAAAATTGAATACTTCCCAGTAATAAAAAGTATCAAACTGATACCCACAACATATGAACCTCAAAAACATTATGCTAAGTGCAAGACACCCAACACATTTTGACTATATACTGTACATGATTGTACATACTTAAGTACTGCATACTATAGCAATACTACACTGTACTGTGTAATATACCTACTCACGTGGTATAATGATTAAATATACATTAAATTGTATAAAAAGTAAATCAACCTATAGTGACAGGGAGCACATCGGTAGTGGCTGTAGGCCAGGGGAAGAAAAACTGAAGGGAAAGCGGCATGAGGGAGTATTTTAGGGTGATGGAAATGTTCTCTGTCTTGATCATGGTGGTGGTGGATACATGGGTATTCATGTTTATCAATAGAACTGAACTATATACTTAGAATGGGTGTATTTTATTGTATGAAAATTATACTTAAGATTTTTTAAAAACCAATGAATCCACCAGAAACAAAACAGGTTCAGAATACTAAATGTACCGTGTATCTTAATTTAAAAAGTTCATTTCTACTTCTCATGTGCCTCAAATAACTATTCTCTAAAATGCAAATCAGTGGTCAAATATTTTCATTGTTTCAGTAATTTTCTTCCAACTATAATGTATTTGTTAGGGCTTAATTAGTGTCCCCAAGAAATGTGTGTATGCATGTGTGTCTACATTTGCTATTTCACATATCTTTGACACGCAGCTCCAAGATCAGAAAGTAAAATGTTCATAAACTACTAAATTAAAGAACAAAGAGAAACACATTAGAGTTAAATTTATGAAAGGTAACCTCTACCTACCCATTTGCCAAAGTGGTGGCTTCTCTCATTTGAGCAATTGATCTGTTAACTAAATCAGCTTTCCTCTGATTATAGGCAGCCAAAGACTGCTGCACTGACACAGGAACCATCTTCTCAAACAGATCTATAATTAGGAAAGGAAATTCAACAAAACTATAAACTCGACTTGGAAAATGACTTCATATTTCCTTTTCAATATTTATATAGAAAGTCTACAAATACTTAAAACCAAAACACTACTGAAAGTACAATGAAAAGAGTTTTTAAATAGTTATACTCGTGGACAATGAAAATGAGAGCTTTTTCTCTGAACTTAAATTTCTTAACATTTTGATGTATCTGTCATTGAGTTTAAGGGCTCTTTGGTAAAGATGAGTTAAACATAAGAAAACACTATTCAATTGCTGATTAAACTGACTGGGCTACAGTGCCATGGTTCGATGTCTAGTTCTACTACTTCCCAACTACATAACCTTGGGCAAATAAATTACTTAACCACCCATACATCAGTATCCTCATCAGTCAAGTGGGGATAGTAACAGTACCTATCTCATGGGGTTGTTGTGAGAAATAAATGAGCTAATATTTGTAAAGTGCTTAAAAGAGTCTTAGGCACATGGTAAACACTTTGTGCTTGCTAAATAGAAATGAGTTAAATAATCACCCTTTCCCAGTAACTTAGAATATTATCCTTGAAATTTCAGCTACAGGTTCATACATTGTTTATATCTACAATATCCAAGGATATTAAAATATATATTTATCTAACCATGACTCCACACGTTTACGTCATAGTTATGTATGTTTATTTTTAATGGCGAAATATTAAATAACATAACAAATATTAACATAAGTACTTGTTTAAAGTCTTTTTGTCATTACTCAAACATAGTTTTAAGTTTTCTGACTATGTACACTTTACATATACTTTATCATCTACTTTCCATCTTAAAATTTCACTGTAGATTCAACACAATTTTTATTCTCATATTCATTTTGAACATGAATGCAAATTATGTTCAAAGCATATTGATAGCAACTGTGTAGTTTTGGCTACAAAAAAAAAACAGATTACACTGGAAAAAAGAATAAGATTAAAGTGTATCTAAATACTTGACATACCAGTGAATTTTTGGCTGATGGGTACATTAACTGGGGTAGCTTTCACAAGTGTGGCTTTACCAATAGAGTCTAGATCTTTGAGGTCTGGAACTCGATCATGATATATGAAGTCATTATCCTTCTTTGCTGCAGTAAGGGCACGGCTGATTTTGTCAGAAAAATCCTTCACGTTGACATATTCATCATAGCGAGATGCCACTGTTTTAATCAATTCTGCTGCATGCTAAAAAAGAAAATGTTTTAAAAAATGTTTTTTTCTCAATCAAACATACTAGCATTGTTTTTTTTAATCTTAAATTTGAGGATTTGCATTTCCAGCAGTATGGTCAACAGAATAACCCAGAAATTCTCCCATCACACCCCAAAAATGAAGACTAATATAGCAAATATCCCTTTAAACACGTATGAATTCCCAAGAAAGTAAAAAAAAAAAATCCATGGGCCAATAAGTATATACAGACACTGAGGAAGGCTGGGTGTCTCTCCATTGCTTTATTAAAATGAAAAGAGCAATGTTGTTACATGAGAAAAGCAAGATGTACAACATACTTCCCTGTTATATAAGAATAGGAAGAGTTAAGAATGTTCTTTGTTTGTATGTGTATTCAGGTGTATATATTTGCTTACATATCAAAGAAAAATGACCCTGAAAAGATTAAAGAAGAAACTGATGGAAATTACCTATAAGGCAATGGGAAAAAAGAATGGAAGAAACAGGATAGAAAGGAAAAGGCAGAGAGATGGGTTGAAATGTATACTTTTATATATACTTATGTTTCCCAATTTTTATTTTGAAAATTTTCCAGTACACAGAAAATTTAAGAAACAGAACAATGAGTAACAACAGACCCTCTACTTAGTTTCAACAATTGTTAACATTATGCCATATTTGCTTTCTCTCTTTCCCATATATACACACATACATGTTTCTGGTTTGGGATTTGTTTTTGTTTTTTTTCGTAAGACCATCTGAAACTAAAATTCAGACGTCATGACCCTTCATCCCTAAATAACTCAGCATATATCTCCTAATAAGGACAACCTCTGTAATATCGACAAGCTACTATCATGACTAAGAAAACAAACAATATTTTCACAAAATCAGTTTTACCACCTTACTGTGTCACTAGATGAGTTAACTAAATCTCTGACATGTACTCATTCTAGAGTCACATTTTTATACATACATATTTTTAGGTCTTTTTGATAATTGTACTCTGGCAGCTTCAGTGATTCCACCAAGATGATCAAGTGGACATAACTTCTGTAGCCAAATGAACTGCATTGTCCCAGAAGCGCACCTCATGAGCTATATAAGCCCAGGTACAGTTTTTCTTGCCCCCAGAAGTGAATTCCAAGCAGCAATTATAACTTTGCTGCTATTTTACCTATTGTTTTCATTTTCCTGACTCTGATTTTTTTTCTGGTTTGCTCATAACTAATAAGTGTTTTCCCATTGCTGACAACAATGACTGGAAAGTCATTTTACTACTGAGTGAGAGACTACAGAGAGTATGATTCGTTGGTCATCTTTTTTGGTCTGTTTACCTATTTCTAATCAGTTTCTAAGTCAAGTAAAAAAAATTTCATGCCTACTGCAAAGAATAGCCCTTTGAGATATGAATCAGCATTTATGTTCTGAGTAAACTTTTAACCTATGAGTAAAGCTGTAAAACTGAAGCTACAAACCCTTATGTATCCTCTCATTGTGTGAGTCTGAAGTAGTTTCCTTTTTCCAGAATGGATTTTTAAAATTACAGTAAAATTTCCAAAGGAGCTCTTCTTCTCTGACTGATTTATAGAGACCAAATAAGGGCCTGCTTGAATCTAATAGTCTTGGAATTCTCAGAAAATTAATAAACTAATATTTTAAATAAACTAGCCTAAAAAAATCTTTCCTACAGAAACCTCTTTCTCAGAAGCATTTCCATATGAGAATCGAAGTTACTGTAATCAAAGTGAATCCCTAGACAAAAGAGGAATGTTTGATAATCTGGGATTTGTTTAAAAAAAAAAAAGTATGCTTTTCTCTGATTTTTGTCAGTGTGGGGTATAAGTATACCTTTTATTTTTCATGAAACCTGGGCTTCTTTTCTCATGAGTTTCAAACTAATTAATCCGAACTTCCTAAATGATACTTGCATAGTATCTTCTAATATCTAATCCATATTTAAAATTCCTTAACAGTTCTCTTGCTATCCTCTGCTTACCAATGCTCAAAATACAAACAACTCATATAAATAGCCCTTGCCTCTGCCACAAAGTTGACCTAGATGTCACCGAAGTTTATGACAACACCAATGCCTACAGTACAGAAGTTACTCTGCTGTTTACAGATATATTTATATTACCACTGTCCTCAAACTGTGGACTTAAATGCTGCAATTTAGACCAAGGCTAGGCCACAAATTAAGAAGTATACATCCTTTCTGGAGCCTGTTAATTTAGAATATTTTATATTAAAATAAAGGTGGGTAAATAAAAGAGAACTAAATGAACACTTTGTGTGAATTTTTTAAATAAAATATGACACTTCAAAAAGCACACAGTAAGTAAAGCCTAAAGATAAAAGCAATCACTTGTTTCCGCTGATACAGGCAACGAGTGGGAAAGGTTTTCATAAGCAAACTTGGGAAATTCACTGAGGAAAAAATAAATGGAGATCCAAGTTACTTAATATTTATTCCTAAGAGACTCACCTGTAACCTTGCAATCTCTTCTCCAAATTTCTTTTGCTGTTTTGCCAGGATAGACTGGTGGTACTCAGCATTGGCCTGCATGATACAGTGCTTGGCAGCCAAGACAGGGAACACCTCCTGGAAATAAAAATACTGACCAGGGGAGAGTCCAACCACACAAACCACCACAGACAACATGGGATGCAGGAAGAAAAAGGAAAAGGAGACAGAAATTAGAATTACCCAATTAATTATTTAGAGGTCGGTTAGTCATTAGGTGTCAACAGAGAAGACCATATAATTTTGCATGGATTGAATTCAATAATTTCAAATTTTTTCTTCCAATTAAAATTAAAGTTAAAAAAAAAACTATTAGGTGAAGCCAATTAAAATTTTTATAATGCTCTTTAATCGAGCCATGAAGTCAACATTTTGTTTACAGAGAAGAAAGGAAAGCATGCATTAGAAAGAGAAGTAGAATGGACATTCACAGAGGAATATCAAGCACAGGGTTTAGAAGCTTTCTTATGAGCCCTTACCCAGCCCTTAGTTAACTAAACCACCATTACTCACATACACTAATGAAATTGCTCTATAGCTGTTTCATCATGTTTAAAAGACAAAAGACAGTAAAGTAAGTTCCCAGTTATATTCATAGCCTGACTTTTTAATAAAGATGACTTTTAGCCATATAAAAGTTTAGTATCGTATAAAAACTAACATTTCATTATCATATACTCAAAAACACATAGCAAACAGACAAATGCACTAAGTTAATGACTAATACGATTCAGTGTTATTTTGCCCTAATCGGTTTGGAAAAAAATTCCAGTCAAAATTAATTTTAAAAGATGCAAAAACATAAACCAGAAAAGCAATTATATGGGTAGAGGCTCTTCCAAAATGTCAAATCCTAGCCTGTAACCTCACTGTTTTCAGAAAGTACATGTCATATAAAATCCAAGAAATATACTAAACAATCATTGTCCAGATTAAAAAAAGAGAGAGAGAGAAAATCAAAAACTAAATTAATACCTGTGTGCTTTCCTACCTCCCAGTAAATAATATCCTAGCTTCCTGGATCACTACTTGCAGATACTGCAGTTTTATAACTAGAACATGAAAATATCTTATGAGCTTTATGAGAAAAAAGGTAAAAATAAGACATCTAAATCTCAAAATGCACTCATTCCAGTTCTCAAGGTAAGACTGGAGCAACTTGGTACTTAAACAGGAGATTTTCAAGGAATACCAGAAATGCTGCAGAGGTAGTTTCCAAGTCTGTGGAGGTGACATTCTTCTCTCCATGACAGGAATGAACTAATGTCCCAACAGGATGTAACGGTACACTGTGCAGCTGAACATGAGGTCTTTCAGATGAAAAAATGGTGAGAGGAGATCCCAAATCTCTTTTTTTTTTTAAGAGTAACACCATTAATACCCAAAGGTCTTGGCAAATTTCAACTGATCTCTTGGTGTATTTTAAGTCTCCAGGAATCTTCACATTAATTCTTTATTGTTCATTTTCTGACTAAACTAATGTGTACTGTTGATGTACTTACATGTTTTACTCCACGACAAAACTGTCTGCAATTTCATAATCTACAAAAATCCCTGAATGACTTACTAACCAACTCTCCTAAAGAAGATCATGTTACAAATATCATAAACATAAGGATGAAACTAATTCCTTGAAATTTCTGAAAGAGTAGCTGAACTATACTACATTTCAAGCTCTAAGTTTCCCTTTCTAACCATTCTAAATCTACTTTAGTCTAATCATCTTTGTCATTTACAAATGATCATCATTTCAAATGCCACTCCAGAGAAGTTTACATTAAAACAATTAATACTTCCTGCGATATGTGGTTTAAAGATGGTTGTTTCCTTAGCTGTCCAATAGCAGCCCAATTTTCTATCCCTGTTGGCAAAACTTAATTCTAATAAAAATACTGGAGGAATCTGTTTTCTTTTCCTTTTTTCTTTATGTCTGTTTTTGCGCTTTAAGTCTCATCTTTAAGAAAACAGGACAATAATTAAAAGTGTGAATAATCAACATGCTCAAGTATTCATGCTTGTACCAAATCACCAATGATTCAGAACTATACAATGCCTCGATTTCATAAAATTATTGAAGACAGGTATTCATAATTTTCCAGAAAGAGACTTAGCTTGGAAAAACAAGTTTAGTAAAGAGCAAAGGCAAAGGCATCCCCTAAATATAAATTCTCATGCATCTTAAATAAAAAACTATTTCTATAAATATATTCTTCAAAGTCCTCTCCTAAAATTTTGAATATCTCTATGAAACATAATTTTCAACTTGCTTATATACAAAAATATCCAAATATTTCCACAAGCAAAATAACCAAGTGTATATAAAACAATAACTGACCTTGGGGAGAGTATCTTTATACTGACACTGTTTGAAAGCATCACCAAAATAATCTGCAGCCTGGTTAGCCAATTTGGCTATGATGGCATCTTTCATTTTATCTGGAATAAAATGTTAAATTGACCATTATAATTAAAATATAAAACAGTCTATCATGATGACTCAATATAGACACTGAGATCACAAGTTTGTACATTTATCTAAAAACATCCTTATTGATGGAATCAATTCATCTACATAAAACTTAATTATTCTATAGGAAATACAGAGTCAGAAAATAGTTTAGTGGTTGCCAGGAGCTAGGGGAAAAAGGATTTAGTCACTGTCAGTGGGTAATGAAGTTCCTTTTTGGGGTGAGATGATAATGTTCTAAAATTAGATAGTGGTGATGGCTGCAAAACTCTGACTATAGTAAAAACCAATGAAGTGTGTACTTTAAAAGGGTTTATTTTCTTGTATATGAATTCCATCAATAGATGTTATTTTGAAAGAAAAAATTATTACAGTTCATATTGCTTCCACAGGATGACTGCTCTTATTTTCAATTTCTCTGCATTTAAATATTCAGCCCACATTCCAATCTGTCATACTAATTTGCATGCCTTATAAGAATCGGCATTATTCCCGCATTCACAGGGCCAGGGCCTCTGTCTAGATGGCTCCTTCTTGTCTATAAGGTCTGGGTGAAATGAGACCTCCTCAAAGAAACTCTTTTTGACTAATGAATCTAAAATTAGCATGACCCCACTCCCACCCCCACATCCTGATCCACAGGTAGGCCTTCAGCCATTATCACATAATCCATCTTATTTGATTTACAGCAATTATCACTCTATATAATTACCTTAGCTACTTAAGTTCTTGTTTATCATCTCTCCTACACTAAAATGTAAGCCTCCTAAAACAAGCAATCTTATTTGCTGATTCTATTTATCTAGAGGCAAGGACATTGACTGGAACACAGAAGGTACCCAATAAATATTTGCTGAATGAATGAATTTTTGACATCTTATAAACTTACATAAATACTACTCTATGGGGATGGCTCCATAGTGCAGTGGTTAGCACTTCTGCTTTACACACAGAAGGTCCTGGTTTTGCGCCCCAGGTGGAGTCACGGACCATACCCCAGGTGTGTCAGGCCCCCAAGGCCTGCCCGGCTCCTCAGCCCCACCCCCTCGAGTGTGCTGCGGGCACCAGACCCGAGGTGCATGCCATGAGCCTGTGAGAGGAGATGCCTCACCTTCAGAGATCCAGTTTTTAAAGGGAAATGGCAACATCTATAGGTCAAGGGTAGAAGGGTGGGGGGGGGCGAGGATTAAAGAGGGGGGAAAAAAATACTAAAGTTCAGTGTCTGAGACTATAGCTAACTAGACACTTTACAAAAGACTTCAAAGACAGTTTACATTCTTAAATGTACACCAGTACCACTTTAAGTTCAGAAAAGGAAAGCTGAAAATTTTCAATAATCCATGTATCAAGTTCAAAAAGGAAAGTTCTACACTGAACATGTTATAATCACCTTTTAATTTTAAAAGCCTATCACTTCTTTTCACAGGCAGCAAAATGGAGGACAAAATTAGAATTACCTCTTGTGGCTTTTAAAAAAAATACTTCTTGGGCCTGTGCCAGCATAATAAGACTGAGGGTCCCAACAGTATCTGGAGATATGTCCACAGTAGGCTCTCGATTTAAGGCAGATAAAACCGTCTCTTTAATATGTAAAAAGGCACCACTAGCAAACTAGAGGGGGGAAAAAAAGAATTTAAAATTTATAGGAACTCAGCATAACTCAATTTGCTTCTGTTACACTCAAAATCATTTCAAATGTTAACTCAATTGAACAGTCACTACATTTAAATTTTTACATCGTGCGAAACAGACCTAAAACATCTGACCTACAAACAATAAGAGTATCTTTCTAAAACACTAAAGAGTAACATGAAATTTAACAAAAATTAAAAGTCAATTGCAACAACAACAAAAAAGTAAATTCATGGGACAAATTGATTAAGTTTAGTTTCAGGTATACATCCTCAAAACTAACATGAAAATAGAGGCAGGGATAAAACATTAAAATGTGTTTAGTACTGAAATGCTCTTACTTTAGTCCCAAATTCATCTCTCAAATAAACATGTCATACTTGAGGAAACCTCAGTACAATCCTCTGAAAAACACCATTATCATCCATTGCTAATGATTTCTATTTCGGAGCTCTTTGGTGAAAACGTTACCCATCAGATTTTTCTTCCCAATTATATTTTATCGAGGTAAGCACTAAAATAACTTTGCTTTTATCAAACGAATGGCACTGGGAAAAAGAAGTCAGTCAGAGATTAAAAGGTGTTACACACATAAGCTATACAGAGATAAACCAAGGTTAATTGTTTAAAGTGAACATCGTGTTTTCTGCAGTCATGAAGTACCCTAAAACTAGAGTACCTGTAGGGAGTGATCAGTTGACTCTGCTTAGTAAACTAACATAATCACAGACTAGAACAGCAAAGAATCCAGTCTCTCATTCACAGATACTCCGGAACTGGAGGCCTGTAGTGGTTTAAGAACTTACACAGAGGCAGGTAGCTTCTTGGTGGCAAACAGCCTAGAGAAGGAACTAGGTCTTCTAATACCACCAGTTCTCTTTCTGTAACACTAGATGACCTGCTATGAATCACAGAGGTGACTCACAGAATGAAATGTGTCCTCAATAACTCAGAATGCTCTCTGAGATCGCGCATGCCAATTAATTAAGTTACGGTTAACAGAAAACTAAATAAAATTTTACTTCATTATCATATTTTAAAATATTTGCCATTTACGGCCTGAAAAACAAAAGGTACATTACATACGCATGATGTCTGTCATCTGTATGGCAAGCCACAATTTGGAGCACATGGTTTGCTTAAAGTTCGTTTTCTTATCACAGTCCTAGAAGGGCATTCCTCACCTCTCCCCTAAACTTGAACAGTGAGAAAAATCAGATTCTACCTCTGAGCCAAGAAACACAGACAGCAGAACCACTTGGAATTTCATTAAATTTGGAATCAGAACACTTGAAACCCCAATGGACCACTTTACTAACACTTCTGCCTTTAGTCTGCTTGTTATAAAAAAAAGAATGACATGATATAACATGTATCACAGGTTTATCTGAGAGTTAAATAATGTACATGAAAACACTCTATAAATTAAAAGGCAATATAAAATATGAAAACATGACTACAGATATCACTTAACAATAACTATTTATCGTTCTTTAAAGTGAAATAAAAAAATAAAAAAAAAAACAATTGCCATAAAGTAATATGCCACACGATATGACAGTATCTAATATAAATTTAGCTAGCTTAAGAACATTACATATCTGACCACATTTAAATATTTGCCTCTTCACGAGTCTTAGAGTTAAACTTTTCTTGCCAAGAGGTCTTAATTTTTACGACCCTGGTAAAATTTTACATGTGTCTCATAAGAAAAAATATTTATGAAATTAATATACAAGTTTTTTTTAATGATGTCATTTATTTAAAAGGGATTTACCAAGGATTTCATCTCACACATTTAATCATTTGTTCTCCTGACATTTATTGAGCCTTTATTATGTGCCAGGCACTGTGCTAGGTGCTGGGTTTAAAATGGTGAGGAAAAAGAGAGCTGGTTTATAGGTGCTTCAAAAATATGAATCAATTCATTTAAAAGGTATATTACTTTTCAAGAAAACATCTGTGTGTAAAGAAACATCTATAAACCTATATGCAAATTATTTTCAATTTAATCCAACTTAGTGTTGATCATTACATAGTAACTACTGTTCTGCATACCTGATAATGCTTAGCAGCGATTTTCAATCCTTCATCATTATCCAGGTTCTGTTCTGCTGCAATCTGGCTAGCTAAGGCTGCACAATTGAACAACACACAGCTCTTTTCATATCCTAAGCTTGCAAGAGCTGTAAAAAATTGAGAAGGAAAGATTTATCAGATTATTTCTCCTAAAGAAAATTAATGTTTCCAAAAGAAAGACTATGACCTCTGCCCCAGTACTTCTCATAAAAACAAATTTCTAAACCTGTTTTCTCATCCATAATACTCTCCTGTATTTCTAGCTGCCCTGCCAGGCATTTAATTCCACAATAATATTCCTCTCATCTAAAATTCAAAAGATCAATTTATTATTCTTTCCTTCCCTTTACATCTGACACTGTTACTAGGTTCAAAATGAAAAGTCATTCTCATGTCATTTCTCACTTAAATCCAAAAACATTTGTTTCATTTTTCCATCACTTCTCTCAAAATTGTATCTTCCCACCATATTTAAAACAATTTCTCACTACTACAAACCTAAGCCAATGCCAGAACCTCCTAGGTGACCTTTCATGCCTCACTCTCTATGCCAATACATCTCCCTCAGAAGGCAAGCAAATTATTTGCTTAAAATGCAACTCTGATCAAGAATCTACACCTCATATCTATTTGAAGAGCTACTATAAAAAAAAAAGGCGGAAAATAACAATTGTTAGCAAGCACATGGAGAAATAGGAATTGTTGTACAATGCTGGTGGGATTGTAAAATAGTGCAGCCAACAAAGGAAACAGTATGGCAGTTCCTCAAAAAATTAGAAATAAAATTACCATATGATCCAATAATTTCACTTCTAAGTATCGTCCCAAAAGTGAAAGCAGGGTCTCCATGCAATATGTGTGCACCCTTGTTCATAGTATTATTCACAACAGCCAAAAGGTAGAAGAAACAGAGTACAATTATGAACAGTTAAAATAAAATGTGATATATACAAACAATGAAATATTACTCAGTCTTAAAAAGGAAGGAAATCCTATCACATGCTACCACACAGATGAACCTTGAGGACACTATGCTAAGTGAAATAAGCCAATCACAAAAAGACAAATACTATATGATTCCACTTATGCTGCATACCTCAAGTAGCCAAATTCACAGAAAAAAGAAGAATGGTGGTCACCAGGGATGAGGGGAAAGGGCGCAAAGAGGAGCTGCTGTCAAAGGGAGCAGAGGCTCAGTCTCACGGGACCGAGAGGTCTGGAGATCTCTTTCGCTGCGATGTGAGCACACTCAACAGTGCTGGATGTAAAAGTGGCTAAGGTAATAAATTCTATGTTATCTACCTTTTCACCAAAAAAAAAAAGACAAATTCAATCACAGTGATGAGTCAAGATCCTACATGATGTGCCAAGCATTGAGCACCATGCAAAATCAAAAGGTTCCTTAGAAAACAAAACACTGAACAAACCATCTAGAAGAATCAGAACTTTATGGCCACAGAGCAGTGCCCTAAAGTAATACCTTCCTTGCTATATCGTTTCAGTAGTCTCCCTCATAACAGTGGCCAGGTTTCAGCTTGCCTCCAACCCAGTTCTAGCCTCCTTGCGCTGAAGTGAAGCAGACATACACACCAGCTACTCTAACCTGCTTTTTGTAAAATAAATATATGAAAAATCTAGAATAACCAGGATGTGAAAGCCTACAACAAAATAAAGATCAAGGTCAACTGAAACGTTGTGCCCAAAGTAAACAAAGATGATTCTGATAATAGAAAACATTTCAAAAATACTAATTAGCATACTCAAAGATAGTACATCAATAAAACAAGAACAGGATGTTATTTTAAAAAGAACAATCCATGAATAAGAAAAGACTCCTGGAAACTGTTTGCTAAAAGCTTTTCAAAAGAATGTTAAAAAATAATATCTAGGCAGCTCATAAAGTCGAAGAAATGAAAATGTAAGAGTTATGAGTAGCTCGGAACAGCCCACATCTAACTAAGCAGTCCAAAAAGAAGAAAAAAAAAAGTGAAGAACAAATTATCAAAGAAATATAAGGAAATTTTCCAGAGCAAAAGGGAGATATTACTCTTCAAACTGAAAGGGGCAACTATAATTGCCATATATAAGAAACAAAATGAAAACCAATTAGATCTTTTGAGATTTCTAAACACAAAGGATAAAAAGAAATTGTAAAACTCTTCCCCCCAAAAAAGAAACACTTCACATACAAAAGAACAAAAATAAGACTTTTCATCAGTAACACTGGATAGTGAAAGGCAAAGAAACAATACCTTCAACTTCTGAAGAAAGATAATTCTAATTAATTCAACAAATATATATTAAGGCCAGTATGGCTGGGAAAAAGAGCAGGGAACAATAAGCGTAGGCAAGCATGTCAGGGAGGTAAAAGAGAGAGAACTTATGCTGTCAAGCCTTTAGGTTTAACTCTGAATGTGGTAGGAAGTCAACAGAGAACAGAAAATCACTCAGCCCACACTATGGACAACAGACTGCAGGAAGCAACACTGGTGAAAGCAGGAGACTAAACTGCTGCAGTAAGGTGCTGAGAGGTGATGGTGGCTCTGAGGAAAATGTCAGCAATAAAGGTGCTAAGAGGTGGCTGGATTTGGAATATATTTAAAGAAAAATCGGCTAGGATTTGCTGGTAAATTAGCTGGATGTGGGGAACAAAGTCAAATAGTTTCAAGAATGACTCCAAAGTTTTTGACCTAAGCACTCAGGTGCCAGAATTTCAAACCAAATTCATGTGAGGGCAGAATGCTGACATTTTCAGAAAGAAGGGATTCACAAAGTTGACCTTTTCTCAGAAAGTTACTTAGGAAAATACTCCACCAAAAAAGGAAGACACAATATCCAGAAAACAATGGCTCTAACTAAGGGAGCAATAACAGTCCAGGATGCTAGTTATGCAGCATCTTTGGAGAGAACAGTCCAGAGTCAAGCAAGAAAACAGAAGATGCCATAAATAAGACTCTCGGGAAATGGGGGACTCTAGAGAAATACGAAGATTGAGAGTATCAAAAATCTAGCAAATATGATAAAAACACACAATGTGTATTGTGATGGAGCAACACATGCACACCACAGGGCAGTATAAGAAAGTCATGGCTAAATATGAAGCAACTAGTCTCACTATATGACAAAAAGTCAGTGAACTTCAAGGAAAATGAAATACAGCCCAAGTGACAGATAAGGGTAAACTTTTATATACAAGATATATAATCCCAGTCTATTATATTTCCCACAAACATCATACCAGGCCGGAGTCAGTAATTTTATCTTGACATTTCTCATGTAAAAGAGATTTTGTGAAAAATTTTTTTCCTATAATTAAATATTTTTCCATTATGATTTCTTCTATCAAATCTAAACTTAAATCAGGTCTTTTAAAAAATATTCAATTCTCCTTGCTTTGAAAAGCCTTTTTACCTTAATATCCAATTCCTATGTTTACCTGTGCTCCTCTTTTTCATACTAAGCTTTTCAAAATGAAAATAGCTGGATTGTAAATAAGTTTTTCTAAAATTCAAAGAACTGTTTAAAAAAACAACAAAATAAAAGAAATTAAAACTCACCAATATCCTACACCTCCCAGAGTCACCCACTGATAATAATACAGTAGCTCTGACCTGTAACTGGCCTTGTATTCAATATTCTATGGACATAGCTTTGAATGTCAGATATATATTTACATTATCACTCTCAGTATTCTAAAATTACATAATATTCTAATGAATGAGTAGCCCATGCTTTATTTATGATATTATTGAAGGACATTTAATTCTCAATATTCGCTACTAGAAATGCCTTGATGAACTATCTCCTGCTTCATTGCTTTTTTTTGCCTCCCACTTTTTCCAGGAACTTGGTTCATCGTTTAACTTATTTCACTTAAGTATTTCCTAGTTCTCCTGCCATCTGCTCCTTATTCTCAGTCTATAAATTTGCTTGTCACAATAGCACTAAAAATCCTTTCCTTGGCCTTGCCTCTCTCTCAGTATAATACTCCCTTTATCGCCAAATCTTTACTACAATTTTTTCAAAATAAACAAGCCCCATTTGCTGTTTCCATTTCATCACTTCTGGTCCACCCCTCAACCTGATGCAATTTGGCGTCTTCGGCATGCCCCTAGTGAAACTTCTTTCATTGCCAAATCCAATGACTTCTCCAGCCTTACATGACTTGACCTCTGTCAGTAACATTCCAAACTGGATGAACATCAATCGCCTAGAGATATTTGCAAAGATACTAATTCCAGTGCCTTGCCTTGAAATTTCCTCCTATCACACTTGGCATTCTGTAACTTAGATAACAGACATATCTTTAACATTTCCCCAGGTAATTCTAATGTGCACCCAGGTTCAGGAACCACTGGACTACATGCTCTTTGAAACTTTTCTGGTATTCAATTCCATGTCTCTATTTTCCCCTGGTTCCTCTGAGATCTCAAAGCTTTTTCTCAGCCTCATTCCCAGAAATCTCTTCCACTATTTCCCCTGAATGTTATATTCTCTAGCTCTAGCTTTCACACTTTTCCTAATCTATACTCTACTAGAGAGGATAAATTAATTATCATTTAATGATAACTGTTCCCAAAACTATGTTTCTATCTCTTTTGAGCTTTAAATCCATTATTTCCAAATGTCAAAGAAAAATTTCTACCCAGACATAATATAGAAAAGTCAAACTCGACCTGTCTATTGAAAGGGATAAAGATCCAACAGGTCAAATCAAGTTATAAATCTTAGAGTCAACTCTCAACTCTTACTCTTCCCTCTAATGGCAGACCCAGTCAGTTTCACCTCTGAAACGTCTCTCAGTCCTATCTCTTCTCCTCTGAGCCACATATAGTCCTTGTCTAATTTCACCCATCTCTCATTAGTTTCCTAAGTGGTCTGTTTCTCCATAGTCTCTGGAGTTAGGCTTTCTGGATTCATATTCGGCTTCATTAAATCCTTACGAGATGACCTTAGAAACTCACTTAATCTTTCTAAACCAGTATGTTCAACTGGTAATAACAGTGCCTTTCCTCATTGAGCTATTGGGAAATTCAGTAAGATAATATGTAAAGCCCCTTCACAGTGCCTGGATGGAACAAGTACTCAATAAATGTTAGCTATTAACATATGAGGGAAGAGTACAAAACTCATGAGTATACTATTTACAACTCTTCACAATCTACTTTCCAATGTCTTCACCTTCCATAATCCCCAATTCAACCTACGGTTTCAAGTATTAACAATCATTAAGATTACATTAACATGTACTACATATAATTTGCAAAGCATAATAGTATTATATAATTGTATATAGTATATATTCTATAATACATAAGTACTATAATATATATAATTATGTATATTATTATTATCAATTGCAGCTAATATTTACTGAGCACTGATTTCCCCACTTCACACAGATGAGAAAATTAAGGCACAGACAGGTTAATCTATCAAGCTAATGGATCAAAAAGCCTTCACTCTTCTGACTTTTGGATATAATGTTTTACCTAGAATGTTATTTTCTACCTGGAAAAAACAAATTCATCCTTCAAGGCCTAATTCGAACATTGCTACTTTCAACAGGCAGAATTAACTTCCTCATCCATGCTCCCCTAAGTTTATTCATAGACTAATCAGCTGTCTTACCAACCAGCCTGAGTACAACTGTCTTATTCACTTTTATAACTAGGACAGTGCCTGGCAAGGCATAGGCTCTCTACAAATATTTGGAAATTACATTAAAAGTTGAAGTTAAAAAGAAAATGAAATGTAAAAAATTTTATTATTCTAAAAGAATCATTAGAAGAGCAATTTTAAAAACCTAAAATAAGTTTCCTATCATTTTTATTAAAACATTACATACCCAACTTTACAGATCCTCCAAAAAGTGAACCTTTATCAAAAGCATCCTTCCAAGTAAATGTCAAGCAGATCTGGATAGAAAGATAGAAAACAGAAAATTATGATTCTTCTTGAACCTCATTAAATATTAAGTCTTTTTCAAAGAAAAATCCACAATGAGGGAAAAAGACAAAAAAAAAGTTTCAACCTAATATAGTATCTTCTTTAATCAACCAATTTCTTTTCCTTTTGCTAGAACATAAAATTTTTTTAAGTAAAATACTAGCACTGTTATTTCGAATGGTCACTCTGCTTCAGTAATTGTACATATATTGTCTTCTCCTAAAAACACGATCTCATTCTTTATAAACAAACAATGGATTGAACAGAATAAAAACTTAATACACAAAACTAAAGAAAAATAACATAATGAACCTCCTTTTGCCCTTCTTGGTTCATCTATCCCACTCTCACTTTCCCTGTCCACCCACCACTCATCCAAACTCACACATACTTTTTTCCTGGAGTATTATAAAGCAAATCTCAACATATTATTTCACCTATAAAAACTTAAGTAACAGAATGTTTACTTTTCATAAACTATTGTAAAATTTAGAAATGTCATAGAATTAAAAACTTTCAAGTCTCTCAAATAAAACTGTAAGAAATCATCAGCATTTTCAATATTTAGCTTTTTAGAAAAAGTTGGCATTCTTATAGTATAACATCTAACCATAACAAGATTTACAACACTGTATGCAAATATAACGTGCAAACAATTTTTAAAGTATATAAACTGAGACTAATAATTCCTGAATTATAGTTACCTTCTTTTTCCCCCCAAAGATTTTTATTAAAATATAGCTAACATACAATATTGTATTAGTTTCAGGTGTATACCATAGTTATTCAACATTTATATCCCTAAAAAAGTGATCACTATGATAAGTCCTAGTTTCCTTCTTAATTCTATAAATCCAAAGGGAAGAACACTATAGTTTAATCAGTCAACAGGTCCTATTAATATAAAAAGCAATAAAGGGAAAAAAAAAAAAAAAAACAGCCCAATGCTCTGCATGAGCCCAGAAGTGACTGAGGAATGACATGAATAGAATTCCAGGAAACATTCTTCAAAAAGACACAAAGTCATACCAGATGGGTCTAAGAGCTTCTAATGTGTATGTTTAAAGTCTCATAAAAACCTAAAGAGAGTGAAGAGGCACCATTTACTTTAATAAAATGATGCCATGGATGGGAGGAAATGGGTGATTTGCCATTATCATGTAACTTTAAAACAAATTAATGACTTACCTGGTTTTCAGAAAATGGGAACTTAGGTTCAATGGAACAGATCTGATCATAATATCTAAAAAAAAAAGAGCAAAATTAAAAATTACCAAAGCTAAATATTATATACGTTTATGTAAATACAACTGGTTAAAGAATATACTAAAATTATTCATGCTTATTTTGCGTGGCCACAAATAAAATTCAATCAGCCATTCTGAAGTTAATAAACATCATCTTTTAACATGTAACCCAGAAGCTGAAATGCACACACTGAAAAAACTGTGAAAACTCATACTCACCACCAAATAAAAATATTTATCAACTATTACTAGCCAAAAGCAAACTAATGTCTGCCAAGGAAACCAAAATATTTATTAAAATACTATTTCTTATTAGGATAACTGTTTCTATCCTTTGGACAAATTAATATCTCTGATAAACTGCTCATTGAAAACAGCTTTGCCAACTTTCAAATATGTTTTGGGCATGTCCACTGTGTCCATCCCCACCAGTGCCACACGATTCATCAAAGCTGCTATCCACCCTTTAAAGCAGACTAATTGCGAAAGTTTCCTAGTCAACCTCCCTGTCTTGTTTCCTCCTTCATCATTCATTTCCATCTAGTCTCCAGAGAACAGCCAGAAATATCATCAAACATGAAGCAGTCTTCCCCCTCAACAGCTTGCAAGGAGGATGAGGGGGGTGTCCAAGGCGAAGTTTTCTAACTGGCCTCTAATATATCCTCCTTCCTTTATATCCCCATCCAGACACCCTTCAACAGGGCTGTGTGTCCAATGATTATTTCTGAGGCTAGCGTTTTGGAGGGAGGGACAACATATCTGAGACCATGTTCTTGGCTGGCATGGTCATCAGTTTGATTACAGAAATAACTAAGCAATCAAATAAATAAACTGAAGAGAGTGGGAGCCAAGTTTCTAACAGAGAAAGGAGTTACTAATAAGGGAAGCGAGAAGGCTAGAATAAACTCTTTGTCTTGGGACTGGAATTGGAAGTATCGGTGTGAACTCACTTTTTAATATAGGTGAAAGATACAAAAACAAGTGTGTGGGGGTGTGTGTGTGTGTATTTCTTAAACATATATGCTGAGAGGGTCTACAAGCAGTTAACACTTAGGTAGCAATAAGCATACCTAGTGCCCAGGTAAATAATGTTCTGCATTAAAAGGAGCCAGTACTCCTTAGAGATATGACTGACTCCATGGCTGTGACTAAGAAAATTGAAGATTCAAGCCTAAAATATCTTGCTATGCCAGAGGAAGTACTCAAAAAATAATGCAGACGTGTCAAAAGAACACACAAACTAGCTTTAGAGGGCTCCCACTGGCCAAGTCTAGAACAACTTAGGTAAAATAAAAAACAGATCATAGCCCATGGAGAAAAATAAGAACACCATTCAGAAGTAAATAAACAGGTGAATAGGAAAAGCTCTACCGTACTGTATAACGCCAACTAATAAATCTGGAAGAAATAATCAAGTTAGAAAAATCAGCATTTGGCACCTTTCAGAATATGATATCTGATTCAGGTAAGATTCATCAATGGATGTTAAAACATGAAAGTTTGACAGAAACAGGATATTACATAGTCTCAAAGTATCTCCCCACAAATACTAATTATTAAAACACACTTATTAATCATAAGGTTTAGAAACATGTCAGACACCATCTTAACCAAGGAATAAAAGCTAACATTACCAGCAACGGGACAAATCAACATGGTGTTCTTTCTAATGGCACTAAAGGAACATAGCATCACTTTGGTGGTACTAACGGCCGAAAATGCATAAATCACAAGAAAATATTAGCCAAATCCTCATTGAGGGATATTCTACAAAGTAACTAGCTTGTACTCTTCAAAAATGTCAAGGTCATGAAAGACAGAGAAAAACTGAGGAACTGTTCCAGATTGAAGGAGACTAAAGAGACAACAATTAAAGGCAACAGAGGATCCCAGATTCATTTCTGGACCTGTAAACTATATTACTGGGAGAATCAGCAAAATTTTAATGAATTCTATGAATTAAATGGTAATATTCAATCAATGTTAATTTCCTGATTTTGAAAGTTGTACTGTGGTTGTATAGGAGCATATTATTGTACTTAAAGCACTATAAAACACTAGTGCTTGGAAAAATTATGAGACTAGTTCCATCAACTTTATTTTACAGATGAAAAAAAAAAATTCCATCATGCAACAAACTAAATTTTAAGCCACGAAAGGATGACAGACAAATCTATTTAGAAATTTTACAAAATCTACATAAATTACTCGAGTTAAACAAAACTAAAATTACAAACTATTAAAAAATAAATGTGAGAACACAACATATCAACATATCAAAACCAGTTGGATACAGCCAAAAGCAGACTCAGAAATAATATACGGTCCTACAATAAATGTATTAGAAGAACAAAAAAGATAAAAAGCTAATCATTCAATACAAAAAAAAGAGGAAAAAGAAAATAAGTGAATGACAAAAGCAGAAAACAAACCAAAAAATCATAGACTTAGTTTTAAAAAAGAAAAAGGTGGCTGCGAACCTTTAGCAAATCTGATCAAGGGGGAAAGTCACACGTATAATACATGCACAACATTAGCAATAAGAAAAAAACTAACTACAGATTATGAGAAGAATAAAACATTTTGCAAGAACTTCTGTCAAAAAGATACCATAAACATAATTAAGAGAAAAGTAACAGATCTGGAGATGATATCTGCAATATACACAATGGAAAAGGATAAACAGCCAACAAAGGTAAATAAATACTCCTAAAAATTATTAAGGAAAAAAACAAGCAACCTAGAAAATGGGCAAAGAAAAAGAACAGACAACACAAAGAAAAATTAACTAATTGACCAATAAATGTAAAATGCTGGACCTCAGAGAAATCAGGGCACCGTAACCTAAAACAAGGTACCATATCTCATCCACCAATTTAGCAAAAAGGAATAATTTGAATTATTAATCAGAAAGTATTAGGAAGGACATGGAGGAATAAAAAACTCACATACGCCTGCTGATGGGAATATAAATTGATACAACCACTGTGGAAAGCTGAAAATGCAGATACCCTCTTCCACTTAAACAAAGATCTGAATAAACACCCTTTTCTGCTCACTCCCGAAATTCCACTAAAAATTTTAAAATTAAAAAGATAAAAATGCACAAGAATAAAAAGAATGGGAAAGAGCACAACAGTGTATGAGATTTCAATTAAATTTTCCAAAAAGTGAAAGCAGAAAAAGCTAAAAATAGAGCTGCCTAGGCTAACAAAGTATAAGCCAAATCATACCAGAGAAGCCAGAAAGGATCTGAATTAAGCATGAGGTATCACTGAAGTCAGGAATTCAATGTGAGGCTGGGAAGAAAAGGTGTGGAGGAAAATCTTTGAAAGAAACCTTCAGGCTAACAGATCCTCTACTCTGGGAGTACTTTTACTCACTGGAAATGTTAGGGATATCAAGCTAAGGTAGGGATCAAGCAGAGCTAAGTGGACAGGATGGGACCTGGGAGGCTATGGATTCAAGTGCTAATTGCCTACATCATTCTTTTCCCTTCCTCCTAACCCCAGCTTTTAGCTGGGTACGTGTCTGTCTTTAATAAAAATTCCTGAGCTTCCGGTCAAGATGGCACTGTGCTTACATCCTCTCACAACCACATCAAATTACAACTAAACTACAGAATAGCCATCATTGGGAGTCACCCAAAGTCTATCTGAACAGAAATCCTACAATTAATTGGTGATACACAGAAGAGGTCACCTCGAGACTGATAAGAGGAGCGGAGATGAGAAGCGGGCTCGCCCCACATCCACGACGGGGCATTGAGAATCAGAAGAAATATCGTGGCTATGGAGTTCCTCCCAGAGAGCAAGGGGTCTCGTTCCAGTCCCAAACCAGGCTCCCCAGCCCAGGGTTCCAGAGCCAGGAAGAGAAGTCCCCACAACTTCTGGCTGTGAAAACCAGTGGAGATTGTGGCTCAGTGAAAGGAAGGGCTGAGGGGGTCACAGACTGTCCTTGTAAGGGGCCTGCACATAGACTTACTCACTGACAAGACTCACTTGCTCTGAGCTCCAGTGCTGGGGCAGTAGCTAGAAAAGCACCAAGGACATTTGGGGGAGGAACTGAGTTGTCTGGCTTCAGGGCGAGGGCTAGAGGGGCAGTTTTTTTCCCAAGAGAGAAGTGCTGACAGAGGGCACTTTGCTCTTTTGTGGAACTCCCCCTCCACCACTACACCTACCCCTAACTCCCCATCCGGACTGTAGACCCAGGCGGGTGCTATATCTAAGCTCCATTAAGGTAGCTAACACAGGTCGCCCCACTGATCCCCTGAGACCCCACCCCTTCCAACATGTGAGCCCACTCAGTCTACTTCCAGTGGATTTTCCATACAAAGGGCCTGCATTGGCTCATGCTGTGGACTTTCCTAAAATCTCTCAAAGGTTCACAAACCCCAAACAAGTGGCATCTGGCCCCAGTATGCCCCATACCTCTTGCTAAGCAGCCCTAAGCCCGGAGCTAGCAGTAGCTGGCCTTGGTTTCTGACTTGGCCTCTGGAGGCACTTCCAAGCCCAACATGGGTAGCAGCTATCTGTAGATTGCTTGGTTGCTCCAGGCAGGGCATAGGCTGCAGCTGAACTTGGCCTGAGGCAGGGCCACTCCCAGGAGGCCCCAGCTTCAGTCAGAGCCAGAGCACCACCCAGGGTCATATTTGAGGACGACACACCCAAAAGGTAGACAGGGCAGTCACTAGAGCCCTGCTAAAGCAAATTCTGCTCAGTAGGGTCAGCCCCTGCACAACAGCTTCTCCACTAGTCATGGCCAGTCATCAGAACCAATCAGCCTGAGGGTCAATCCCTCCCACTGATAAGCAAACAGCAACGAAGGCTCAACTACAACAGGAGGGCACACACAACCCATACAAGGGACATACCTAGAGCACCTGGCTCAGGTAACCAGAGAAGACTGTGCCACTGGGACCCATAGCATACCTACTACATAAGGCAAGGCCACTCTACTAATACTGGGGAAAATAGCAGCCCTACCTACTACATAGAAACAAACACAAGTAGGAGCCAAAATGGAAAGACAAAGAAACATGTCCCAAATGAAAGAAATTAACAAAGCTCCAGAAAAAGAACTAAACAAAATGGAGTAATCTACCAGATGCAGAGTTCAAAACACTTGCTATAAAGATGCTCAATGAACTTATGGGATTAACTCAGTGAGAACATAACAAAGAGAAAGAAAACATAAAAGTGAAGACAGAAAACATAGAAAAAGAACCAGTCAGAAATGAAGAATACAATAACTGAAATGAAGAATGCACTAGGAGGAATCAACAGATTAGATGAAACAGAGGAACAAATCAGCGATTTAGAAGACAAGGTAGCAGAAAACACCCAATCAGAACAGCAGCAACAAGAAAAAGAAATCCAAAAAAGTTAGGATAGTTTAAGGTAGTGGTCCCCAACCTTTTTGGCAGCAGGGACCAGTGCTCCTATGAGAATCTAATGCTTGATGATCTGAAGTGGAGCTGAGGCGGTGATGTCAGCACTGGGGAGTGGCTGCAAATACAGATGAAACCTAGCTGGCTCTCCCACCACTTGCCTTCTGCTGTGTGTCCCAGTTCCTAACAGGCCATGAACCAATACCGGGCTGCAGCCTAGGGGTCGGGGAACCCTGGTTTAAAGGCCTCGGGGACAACATCAAGTGTACCAATATTCACATCATAGGGATATCAAAAGGAGAAGAGAGAGAGGAAAGGACTGAAAACATATTTCAAGAAATAATGACCAAAAACTTCGCTAACCTGGTGAAGGAAATAGACATGTAAGCCCAGGAAGTGCAGAGAGTCCCAAACAAGAGGAATCCAAAGAGGCCCGCACCAAGATGCATCATAACTAAAATGCCAAGGGTTAAAGACAAAGAGGGAATCTTAAAAGCAGCAAGATAAAAAGCAGTTAGTTACCTACAAGGAGCTCCCATAAGACTGTGAGCTGATTTCTCAAGAGAAACGTTGCAGGCCAGGACTGGCAAGAAATGTTCAAAGCTATGAAAAGCGAGTTCTACAATCAAGATTACTCTACCTAGCAAAGTTATCTATCATTTATAATCAAAGGATAAAGAGCTTCAAAAAGATAAAGAGCTTCCCAAGTAAGAAAAAGCTAAAGGTCATCGTCACCAAACCAATATTACAGGAAATGTTAGAGGGACTTCTTTAAGAAGAAAAAAAAAAAAAGAAAAAATTAAAAATATGAACAATAAAATAGTAATAATGCCATATCTATCAACAATTACTTTAAATGTAAATGTATTAAATGCGTGAATCAAAAGACATACAGTGGCTGAACGGATATAAAACAAGATCCTTACAAATGCTGTCTGCAAGAGACTCACTTCAGATCAAAAGACAGACTTAAAGGGATGAAAAAAGATTCATTTTCATGAAAATGGAAACAAACAAAAAAAAGCTGGCGTTAGCAATATTTATACCAGACAAAACAGACTTTAAATCAAAGGCTATAATAAGAGACAAAGAAGGACCCAGTTATCCCACTTCTGGGAATTTATCTGAAGAAACCCAAAACACCACTTTGAAGGGACAAGTGAATCCATATGTTAACTGCAACATTATTTACAGTAGCCAAGATATGGAGGCATCCTAGGTGTCCATCAATAGATGACGAGGTTACACACACAATGGAATATTACTCATCCATAAAAAAGAATGAAATCTTGCCATCTGCAACATGGATAGAGCTAGAGGGTACTGTGCTAAGTGGAGGAAGTCAGGGAAAGACCAATGACATATGTGGAATCCAGATAACTAGATAAACAACAGAAACAAGCTCACTGAGCATTTTGATGGTTGCCAGACTGCAGGTGGGAGATAGGGGGATTGGAGAGGGAATTAAGAGGTACAAATTGGTAGTTGCAAAATAGTCATGGGGATGTAGAGTATAGCATATACTCAGTAGTATTGTAATAACTATGTATAGTGTCAGATGGGTACTGAATTTATTGGGGTGATCAGTTCATAAGTTATAGAAATGTCTAATCACTGTGTTGTACACTTGGAACTAATGTAAATATTGTATGTCAACTATAATTGAAAAAAATTAAAATATAAATTTTTTTTTAATTCCTTTTCCTATCCTACCCTTCTATGAGATGTGGACATACATAATGGCCAATAAAAATTATAAGCAGGGTATCGTGGAGCAATTTCCAGGAAACATTCTGGAGGTTGGGCCCTCTGCCTCCTTTCTCCCTTCCTTTATCCCACTGTCTGAAACTTGAGTATGACTGCTATCTGAACCCTGAGATCAAGGATTCTAGGTTTTACAGAGGAGTTAGCAGGAAGGAGCCTGAGCTTGATGAACTTCACAGAACCACTAGACCATCTTTGGACTGCCAGAACTACCTATCTACCAACTTTTTATACAACAATAAAATCATAACTTAACTCGCTGATAATTTGAGATCACATGCAGCTGAATCCAAACCTAATACAGGCACCACAGATGATATAAAAAGACTGTATACATAACTGTTAAAATCCCCAACCTCGTTCCCCTGATCATATTTCAGAAAGCTGACAACCAGCTTTTTCATGGAAGCAGACTGGAAGCTTTCGCTCTAAAATACTGCCACAAAAAACAAGGACGCTGATATCTGGAGTCTCCCCAAAAAAACAACCAGCAGGGTTCCCATCTGATCACCCTAGAATAAAGTTCACCATTTACTAAGGCTCTTTTAATCAATTTTTAGTTAAAGACACTTTATAAAAGATGACGTTCATTCTCCATATCTTACAGATAAATGTATATTTTAGAAAATTTTCATAGAGCAGCTACACATTAGTAATAATAAAAAGGCAAGTCCATCACTGTACCTATTCACGGAGCTGTGTACCAGGACATACCAAACTAGCCTCTATTCTTTGGAAATTAACTTAACCCCCCCTTTTCTGAAAATTTTACTTAAAAAGTTTATTAAATTAAAAATATGTAAGTTAGTGTTCAGTTTACAAAACTATCCAAACGTATTAAAAAATATTTTGCTTCACTAAATGTCTCACAAATATTTGATTTTTTTACAGCATATATATATACTCAAAGAACTTTTGTACATACCTCCATTATAAAATTTAATAGACAGCAGTATATCTACTAGCTTACCCTAACCCCACTAGAAGAGCCAGAAGTGGAAAAAAATCATAGTTGTTAATGAATACTCTAAAAATAATATAAAGATGACTAATAAAATATTAGTTTCAAAGAGACTATCTCTGCAACAACCCTAATATCTAGGAACAGTTCTCACATTTATGCCTGGGAAAAGAAAAATGGAATGAATAAATGAAATTCTGAAGCTCAAGGCTGAACCCTATCAGAACTACAATCCATTATTCTCTCTCTCCTCTGTTAGTCCCGAATCCATGCAGCAACTGTCTCTGAAGACTCTAAGTTCCTTAAGGGTGGGGACCAAAACAAACCTAATCTATTCAACACGACTGTTACAGTGTTCATTACACCCATGGTGTTTTTAATACTACTAATGGAAAATCCTCACTGAATACAATTCATGTCTATATAAAAACTGCTTGAGTTTTTTAAAAGTATGTTAATTATAAAGAATGTGTGGGTAGTCCTACATTAACTTTTTAAAAATGCTTATATTTAGTATCAAACTAATGATCTCCACAACCTAATAGTCTTAACTTCTAAACTGACACCAAGAGGTCATAATCTCTTTGAGCAATCTATTCAGTATTCTCCTTTTGGGGAACCAGCTTTTCTCCAGTCCATATTGCTTTGATCCATGGGGAATGGAGAAATTAAACCAGATGAGTAACTCAGACAAGGGAATTAAATTAGCTCATTTCCCACCATTATAAATAGGCACAAGCCAATCCAATCAGAGGCCTTTCAAGGACTTCCACCAGAGCTAAGGAAAAATGCACTCTCTTATGTAAGGTCCTCAGTGTTATGGAGCACTGTAATTACAGTAGAGCTGCCAGTGGCTCTCCTTCCCAATACAGGAACAAAAGCTCACCTAAGAGGGAGTCAACATGGAGACAAGATGATCTCTAATGCTCCCTAAGGCTAAGGAAGCAATATTCCTAGACTTTTCAGTTACCAAAACAAACGAGCTGGTTTAACCTGGGCTTCCTTTACTTACATCCTAATAGAGCTTTTTCTCCTATGAAACAAGAATGTTACACGTAGAAATGAGATCATTAACGAAGTAGGTGAAAGAAATTTTTATACTATAAAGTGCTATAAAATGTTCTGCTATCCTAAGTGGAAAGAACCAGAAAAGGAACGCTCATTAAATACAGCATGAGTTCAATAAGCATTTGCTAAAATAACAAATTTACCCATTTTGTGCATACTTGTTTGTGAACAAGCTGACTGTAAGCAATTTATCTTGAACATTCGATCGCGTCGCTCAAGCTTAATTTCAAATAACTGTAGCAATTAACTTCTGGAATTCTCCATGTCATTTGATTTTATGAACTTAAGATGATGGCTCATTTCAAGTAGACAATGTGATTAATAGATATTTGTTCCAGTGTCCCGATTCTCCCACTTCCCTCAAGCAACTACTAATTTGAAATCTAAATCTGGTCAAGCAAGTCTTAAGACGGCAATGTAAAAACGGAGTAAAAGAGTCTCAGAGACCACCCCCCACACACACTAAAAAAAGTGAAAAAACTAGTTCTGCACAAATGTGGCACGAGAGATCAGTACGTGGCAGACCGTTCCTCCCAGGTATCTGATCAACCAAGCCCAGGCGGATCAAGGGCTGTGGCGAGCCGGCAGGACAAGCAGGCAGTCAGCGGTGGTGAGAGGCGCGGCTCAGCTCACTAGGAAGGAATGCAGTAGACCACACCTACGCGCCTGGCCAGGCCAGGGCGGGGCGGCCGGGACAGGGCCGAGTGGGTAAGGGAGGGAACGGAAAGGCGAAGGAAGGAAGTAGGGCAGCAGGCTGCAAAAACCGTCCCCGGGCCCGGCCCCAGGCCCACCTCAAGAGCGTCTCCAGCGCGCCCTCGTGCTTGTCCAGGGGGCGACCGAGAGCGGCGCGGCGCAGCTTACTGAGCTCCTCGGCCGCGCGGCAGTACTGGGCCTGCTCGTCCCCGCCGCTCGGGTACGTCTGCTGGATGAATTTCACCAGTGGCTTGGCTAGGTCCACTTCCGAGGTCTTTTTCAACTGTACCGAGATGAACGTCGCCATGGCAAGCACCTCGGTGGCCGTTCCAGCCAAATAATCTGCGGGACAGCGAAGAGGCCGAGGAGCTTGGAGAACCGGGTTGGCGGACTGGCGGACCTACGGGCTGACGGACGCGCGCGCTCGGCCTGCGCTTCGGGTCCGGCAACTTCCGGGAGCTCCCGCGCAGGCGCCGTCGGCGCGCAGCCCGCAGTCACGTGAGGAAGTCCGGGCGGTGGCTCAGCACACCTGGGCCCAGCTGGGCCTGGGCCGAGCGGTGAGCTCCTGGCTTCCTCAGCATGCGGAATATTCACCTTCCTTCTTACTGTTGCGACGAATGGACAGACGCTTTCCTGTAAAAGTAACCATTCCTCCACCGGAACAACTCGGTGAGGTACTCCTATTACTGCCCGCCGCCACAGTTTGCGGTGACATGTGCAAGACCTTACAACCTCAGCGTTATTGTGACTTGTGGTAGTTTATTCAGAGGACTGCTGTGTACAAGTACTGAGTTTACAGAAAGCTTAGAAGGCAAGGTCCCTACCATTGTGCACTTTATACTTCAGGTAAGAACGCAGATACTATAAAAAGCATCATGATAGAAAAAACAGTTCTTGGAATGTGAGATATTAAGAGTTTCTTGGAAGAATCTAATTTAAACGGGATAATTAGAGAAGTCTTTTCCGAGAACGTAAACTTAAAGTGACTTTCAGTTAGAGAAAATGCTTAACATTAGAAGAAGGGAAGAGTGGCAAGGGAGAGCCTTCCAGAGCAAGAGGCGGCAGGTGCAAAGGCCCTAGGAGGCAGCACTTCCCATGTTCAGAGACTTGAAGTAAATGGTGTGACAAAAACTTAAAAGCAAGTAAAGAATGGAATGAAATAAAGTTGGAAGAGTAAGCAGACATCAGATCATTCAGAACCTTGTATGCCATGCTAAAGAATTGGTATTGTAGAATAAAACAAAGGAAAATGTAAGTGGCATTTTGATAATAGCGGTATTATACAATTACTTTTAAAAGTCCACCCTGTGCATCCAAGGCCACAAGTAAATGTCCAGAAGGTGAAACATCTTGCAAGCTAACTAGCCCCATCTCTTCAATTTATTGTTATGAAAAAAGCCACTACTCTATGATTGAATCCTGGTTTGAATAGGCCACCTACAAAATGCATTTTCAAGAATTGAGGAAATTTGAATATAAATGGATTGAGTATAAGAAGAAAATGTATTGCCATGGAAGGCAGAAATTATTAAGTGAAAAAAGCAAGTCACTGAACAGTATATATGTTACAACATCTCATTTTGGTAACAAAATGCACTTACATGCTTTTATGTACTATGAAGAAAGATCTAGAAGGGTTACACCCAAAGATGTTAGCAATTGTAATCTTTGGAAGTAGAAATGTTTATTTTTATTTTCTATATTTTTGCCCATCTTTTTATGTAGTTTTTTACAGCATACATATTACTTTTGTTATAAAATGTTATTTTACCACAATTTTTTAAAATTTTAATTTAATTAAAATATTCTAAGTTAAAATAAAATAGCTATTCTGGCTGCTGTGTAGAGATGCATTAGAAGAAAGCAAGATGGAAGCTGGGAGGCATATCATAAGACCATTTCAGAAATCCAGGCAAGAGTTCATGAAAGCTAACATTAGCAGGAGTGAGCCAAGTTGATATATTTTTTAATTAAATATTGAAGAATTTGCTGAAAAACAATAGGAAGGTGAAGAAAAGGGAGTGATCAAGGATGCTCCTGGCATTCAAGCCTGAACATCTGAGTGGTTGGCGGAGTGGTTTACTGATACTATAAAGAGAACTGATGGATAATCCACATATGGGAGCAGGGAATGGAGACTGTTTATACCCAAACATTCAAGTGGAGTCATTAAATTGACAGTTGTGTGAGGTTAGAGCTCCAAGAAGGGATCTTATTTGAGAACTGATAGTCGACTTACAAATTATTTTTAAGCCCTGGAACTATAAAAGAATACAAAAAGAAATAGGTCAGAAGCTATCAAGAAATATAGTATCAGATTCAGCGTTTACAAAGACAGAAGGTAGCAGAGAGAATGAAAATTCAGAAGATCTGAAGATAACCAAAGAAGCAAAGTGCATAGTAAGAGGAAAGGAAGGGGTAACCAGAGCAGGAAGGGTACAAGGAGAGGGCTTAACTGTCAGAAAGATGAGAAATATGTCATTTGTTGAGGCAGATGGAGGGGAAAAGGAAATGAACATAGATGTGGTTAGTTTTGTGGCATCAATCAAAAGAAGGTTAAGGTGATCCTATGTGATAGAACCTAAAAAAAATCAAAACTACTTAACATAGCATGGTCTATCTCTGCATAGCTCTTCAACTTAATATTTTGCCACTTCCTCATTTATTACTGCACAGTCACATCAGTCTTATTTCAGTTTTTCAAACTCACTAAGATCTTTCTTTCCTCATATGACCTAGAATACTTTCTCCCTTCATATCTCAGTTGAAATATCTGCTCCCCATTATACCATCTACAGTAGATTCCCCATGTGTTAATATCTAGCTCAGCCATTGTTTATTTCCTTCATAATACTTATCCTAACTTGCAAGTAATTTGTTCATTGATTTAATTTTTTTCTGAATTCTCTTCTAGAATATAAATTCCTTGAAGACAAAAATTGTGTTCTATATACCGTTATATCTCCAATACTTGGCACATTATAAGAACTCAGGAAATATATTTGAATAAGTAATTGAATTTCATTACTTGTAAAAAAAAAATTAGATTTCTACTATCAAAATAACAGTGGCCAAAGGAGGATGGTATATTAGGATAGGCTAGCTTGTGCTCTGATGATAAAGTTCTAAACTCTCAGTGTCTTAACATAATAAACATTTGTATCTTGCTCACTCAAAGTCTAAAGGGACAGAGTAGCTGTCCTCTAAGCACTGTCTCAGTGATCCAGACTAGTTTGATTTTGTACCTCAGCCATTTCAACCTGAGACTCCACATTCAAAGGGGAAGAGAGAATCTGTAGCACCACACAGCAAGTTTTCACAACCTTAACCTTCTCACATCTACTCACATTTCACTGGCTAGTCCTTTCACCTAACCCATCAAACTGCAGTGGAACTGGGAAGCGTAGTTTTCTGTATGCCTGGGAAGGAAGAACTGAATATTGGGGAGCACTAGTGATACATTCCAAGGAGGAGTTTTACTGCTTCCAAACTTGCTTATAATAACATCGATTTTCCATCTGTGTATTGAAACTTCATAAAATATGTTTTTAGAATCTATTCTCAGTGTAATATTTTAAAGGATATTAAATCTATAGATTTTCCTCCCTGATAATCCTTAGTTCTTTTGGACCCATCATTACCCTCACTGATTGAACAAATGGAAATAATTGCCTAGGAATAGGGGAGAAAAATTAGGAACTGGAATATAAAAAGGGTTGAATTTCTTGAGGACTTTTAAATTAAACTAAGGAGAAAGTCATACAATACATCATTTCTCCTGTATATTTGTGTCCTTCCACATAGGCTCAGGAAAAGTCCAAAGGATCGATCTTGCTTACAACTGGTTTTAACAATGAGAACATAGATGAATTCGGTAAAGCTGCAAAATACAAAATTAATATACCAAAGCAGTTGCATTTCTATACAGTAACAATGAATTATCATAGAAATTAAGAAAACAATCTCATTTTTAATAACATCAAAAATAGTAAACTTCTTAGGAATAAATTTAACCAAGTAGGTGAAAGAACACTGAAAACTATAAAACATTAATGAAAGAAATTGAACAAGATGCAAAGATTGGAAGAGTTAGTATCGTGAAAATGTTTATACTACACAGAGCCATCTATAGATTCAATGCAATCCCTATCAAAATTCTAATGGAATTTTCACAGAAATAGAAAAAAACTATTATAATATTTGTTTGGAACCACAAAAGACCCTAAATAGCCAAAACAATTTGGAGAAAGAACAAAGCTGGAGATATTATTCTCCCTGATTTCAAACTATATTACAAAGCTATAGCAATCAAAACGGTGTGGTATTTCACAAAAACAGGTACATAGATCAATAGAACTAAATAGAGAGTCCAGAAATAAACCCATGAATAAATGGTTAAGTAATTTTTGACAAAAGAGCCAAGAATATATAATGGAGAAAAGATACTCTCTTCAGTAAATAGTACTGGGAAAAATGGATATCCACATGTGAAAAAATGAAACTGGACTCCTTTCTTACACTATACACAAACATGTCAAAATGGATTCAAAACTAATGTAAGACCTGAAACCACAAAACTCCTAGAAGAAAACATAGGGGGTAAGAACCTTCACATTGTCCTTGACAGTGATTTCTTTTGGGGGGGGAGGGGGGATTTGACACCAAGAGCAAAGGCAACAAAAGCAATAATAAACAAGTGGACTACATCAAACTAAAAGCTTCAGCACAGCAAAGAAACCATCAACAAACTGAAATGGCAACCTATGAAATGGGAGAAAATATTTGCAAACCACTTATCCAATAAGGAGTTACTATCCAAAATACGTAAGGAACTCTTACAACTCAAGAGCCCACCCTAAAGAAAACATTAAAAAATGAGTAAAGAACCTGAATAGACATTTTTTCCAAAGAAGACATACAAATGGCCAACAGATACATGAAAAAGTTCTCACTAATCATCAGAGAAGTACAATCAAAACCAAAATGAGATATTGCCTCACACCTGTTATAATAACTATTGTCAAAAAGAAGAGACATCAAATGCTAGAATATGGAGAAAAAGGAGCCCTCGTACACTGTTGATGGGAATGTAAACTGGTGGAGGTTCTTCAGGAAATTAAAAATGGACCTACCATATGAAAATGAAATCATCTCAAGGAGATATCTGTAACCCTATGTTCATTGCAGGATTATTCGCAATAGCCAAGGTATGGAAATGACCTAAGTGACCAATGAATAAATAAAATGTGATTATCCATATAAAGATATAGCTGTATAATGGATTATTATTCAGTCATAAAAAGAAGGTAATTCTGCCATTTGTAACAACATGGATGAACCCAGAGGGCCTTATGCTGAATTATATAAGCCAGACAGGAAAAGACAAATACTGCCTGCATGGTATCACTTAGATGTGGAATCTGAAAAAAAGTCAAACTAGTAGAAACAGAGTAGAGTGGTGATTGCCAGGATCTTAGGGTAGGGGAATTAGGGAGAAGTTGGTAAAAGGGTACAAACTTTCAGTTACAAAATGAATAAAGAATCTAATGATAACATGGTAACTATAGTTTAAAATACTGTATTGTATAATTGAAATTAACTAAGAAAATAGAACTTAAGTGTTCTCACAAGACAAAAATGGGTGTGTTAACTGGATGGTGGGAATCTTTTCATAATGTATATGTATATCAAGTATCATGTATACCTTATATTGCAATTTCATTTGTCAATTATATAAGTAAAACTGGAAAAATGAAAAAAATGAAAAACGAAAAATTGGGAGATGGAAAACTTTTACAGTCCTCATAGACTCCTAGTCTCTCCCTCTGCCCCCACAAGATGTCACTGTTAAAACACAGAAGATATGCTATATCAAGACTTCACAAGATGGAGCTATTAAAACGTAAATGTTCGGGCAGTCTGCAGTTACAAAGTTACAAACGCCAAGGGCTATTTTTTCTAGAATACACCTGTGATGCTAGAGTGAAATTTATAAAGACCGAGTTAGAAACTTATCCTCCCAACTAGTGATGTTAAGCCCAGATAAACAATCCAGGCTCTTCTCTCTTCTTTCCTTTCTCCCTCAACAGCCCTGGTGTATTTTGCTGCCATCTCAGGTCAGGGCCACTGCAGTGCATCAGAGGCGATGTAGTAACACTGACCCTCCTGAAGAAAGTGGTCAGGGTCTCAATAACTTTCTTCCCAGAAAGCTCCTTAGTCTTTGGGAAAATTTGCTGACTATTCTCCCATCACTTGTGTACCAAAGATCATGGTGAAGAGAGCAGTGTTGACAGCTCCCAAAGTGTCCGGCTACACCTTTCCCCTGCTTGCCTTAACATTTACCTAATTAAAAGGAAACCTCCTTCAATAACAAAGGGTTTTGGGGGGACCTCCACTAACAGAGATGCAGCTGCCAGTTTTAAATGGTAGTAATTCTCATTTCACTTACCCATGAGTCAACTTCTTACCAATACTGATCACTTTTTATAGTATAACTTTACTACTATGTTCTGCTAAAACTTCCTATTGCCATAGGAGTGATTTTCATGCTTTATATTGTTGCGTATGTGGGCTGCTTCCATTTTCTCAATATTACAACATGGCCAAGATGGTATTAAATCGTTATTCACATTCATATTTCCTTAGAATAAATTTCAAAAGTGAATGTTAAAGGGCATGAGCATTTTTTAAAGTTTTCAATCTGACAAAATTGTACCTCATCTGAAATAGATGTATGACTTTACATTTCTATCAACAACATAAAAAGTGCTAAAACCTTAACCAACATTGGCTATTTGTTTTTTTAATCTTCACCAATTGGAAAAGTGAAAAATAGTTTCTCACAATTTTAATTTGCATTTATTTTACTTTTACTGAGGCTATGGATTTTTTCATGTGTTTCTTAGCCATTTTTGTATTTTGTGAATTACTGTTTTTAATTTTTCTTTTGGAAAACTTATTCTTCATATTGATTTGTAAGAGTGTTTTCTATTATAAGGATAATAACCCCTTATTGCAAACGTTGCAAATATTTACTCTAGTTTGTTGTTTGCTTTTCAATTTTATTTATGGAATTTTAAAGCACCAGCTTTCTAACGCACAGAATTTTATACTCTTAAAGACCCAAGTATTGTGAAGGAACAGATCATTAGAGAAAAAGATGATGCTCTAGTCTCCAGAGAAGAAAAAGAAAAGGTTACATATGAAGAATCATAATAAAAATGACTGTGCTTCTCAACATTTGCAGGAAGAAAACATGGAACAGTGTTGTCAATGTTTTGAAGGGAAATGTCTTCCCACCTTGAATGGTATAATCAACCAAAATATCAATTAGTGAGAAGATTGAATTTAAACACTTTAATACTTGTAAGATCTGAAAAAATCACTACCTTTTGGTTTTCCAGTGCTGCTATAACAAATTACCACAAACTTAGTAGCTTAAAACAATCCAAATTTATTCTCTTGCAGCTCTAGAGGTCAGAATTCCTAAATCAAGTCATTGGTAGGTCTGTGTCCTTCCAGAGGCACTAGAGGAAAATCAGTTTCCTCGTCTTTTCCTAGCTTCCTGAGACTGCTTGCATTCCTTGGCTCATGGCCCCTTCCTTCACATATAAAACCAATTTTCATTCTCTCTCTCTCTTTCTCTCTCTTTCTCTCTCTCTCTCTCTCTCTCTCTCTTCCTTCCTTCCTTTCTTCCTTCCTTCCTTCCGTCTTCCCTCCCTCCCTCCTTTCCTCCCTCCCTCCTTCCCCTACTCTCTCTAATTTCTTACATCCCTCCTATAAAGTCTCATAAGTACATTGGACCCAACTGGATAATCCAGAATAATCTCCCTATTTCGAGGTCCTTTTAATCACTTCTGCAGTTTCTTTTGCCATTTAGGAAATATTCACAAGTTTCAGAGATTAGAATGTGAAACATTCACAAATTTTAGAGATTTGAATCTTTGGAGGGGGCACATTCTATTTAGTACATCACCCAATCACTTTGTTTTCACTAAAATGAGGGAGTACTCTGAGAAAAAGGAAGACATGGATTACAGAAAATAGCAGATTTCAACACAAGACAGCAAAGTAAGAGAATGTCCATGATGATGGTGAAGTCACAATGTCCTGATAACAACTGAAAGACAGTCCTGATTGAGGCAGTGTGACTCAAGAGACAGGCGTGTCAAGTGTTGTCCTCACCATGTTTCTGCTAATGTAACTTACTTTTAACTTGATGAAGCTAGTAGAGGATTAGCTTTGTGAAAATAGGGAATATTTAAATATTTAAATACAGATCAGGACCCAGGGAATTTAATGCAGAAGAAAAAATTTTAAGAGTGATATCAAAAGAAAGTCCTAGAATTTGGGTTGTACAAAAGGCCTAGAGAGCAACCAAGAGAGAAAGAAGGAGTGGAAAAGAGATATTTCCCAAAACATTGAAACTAATAGATTTCAAGGCAATCGACATATTAAAAGAAAACAAAAACTGAGAAAGGATACCAAATAAGGACGTTAGCTTCTGGCAGTAGCAGAACTGGGTAATTCAAACCAACCCTACCCCCAAAGACAAAACAGCTGGATAGAATATTTAAATAAATTTCTTAAAGCATGAAAGACCTAACATGAGACTAAGGCAAGATGCAGGAGAGGATGGAGTCTGAAAGGTAAGCATAGTATTCAGGTCACTTTTGTCCTGGGCATTTACTAGTCTAAAAGAGGTGGCTGAGAGATTGTGCTTTTAAAAGCTTCCCAGAACTAGAGAACAAAAGTTGAAGTTCAGAGCCCCTGAGGGTCGGGCACCTGGGCAAACAATTTTCTGCTTTGGACTAGGATCTCAAAGGACTACACTCTAGACATAAGAGTAAATTGACAGTAAACCAGCCTTCACACAGACTGTCACCAGCTTTGAATTATGTAGTTAGCCCAAAATCTAAAGTTCTGAAATTAAAGTGATCCTAGATTACTAGTAGACCCAGGAGCCTGACAGAAGCAAATACAAATCCTTCTGGAGGGAGATATCATCATCCTGAGTCTGAAACAATTTATATAACTAATTTTTGAAATGCATTGTTTGACACAATCAAATGTGAATAGACACACAAGAGTCAAGATAACATGGGCAAGAATCAATAGAAAAAACTGACATCAGACACAGCCCTGGAGGGCTTCAGATGTTGGAATTATCAAACAAATAGTAAAACAAGTACTTTTATTATGTTAAAGGATGCAAATGCCACATTTGAAAATTTCAAAAAGAAACTGGAAACTATAAAAAGCAACATAACATTTAAAAAAGAACCAAGGATTTAACAACGGAAAAATACTATAAACCAAATTTGTAAGTGAATGGGTTAACAAGCAGATAACAAACTGGAAGATAGGTTGAAAACATAATCATAAAACACAACGTGCAGCTGAGAATTACATTTGCATATACAATAATACAAATATTGATGTGACTAAATCTCATAATATAACTGTAATCAGAAGATGATGGGTAGTAGGAAAGGGAATGGCACTGTAAGAATAAATTATCATCTACCATAATATGAAGTTGATAGATAATATCTAAATATAGCATGTGCATTTTGTTGACATAAAAGCCAGAGGAGATAGCTAAAAGAATGAAAATTAGTTGCCTTTATAGGAGAGGAAAGGAAAAAATTAAGAAGGAATGGGAAAGAGAAATACTGTATTTTGTCATCAGGCTTTTAAGTACCAAAAAAAAGAAAAAAAAA